TGGTGTGGATTTAGTTTTCCTTTGCTGGCTAGTTTTAGCACTCCTTTTTTGAGCTAACATTTATTTAAAATCTCAGTACCCCCTTCTTTGTATAAAGAAAGTAAACTATGATGACAGTAATCTTTACTGATATGTGAAAAATGTGAAATGTACAGTACAACTGCTTTTGCTTTACATGATCTGACCATGATAATTCAAAGTAGGGCAGGTCTAAAAAGGCCATTGGAATTCTGTCACATGACTAGCTATGCCAATTAAAATGTTTTCGATGCATGCCCTATATCGGAGTCGCCAGTGCTTGCTTGCATCCTTGCTTTGCTGTGCTTCTATTCTCCGTGTTATATCTGCTTATGCCCATCAATGTAACTTTCCTTCCCTTTTTTGTATTTGTTTGTTTGTTTGTCTATGTTGTGTTCTATCGTCCCTCACCACTGGTAATCTTTTTTTGAAATATACTGCAGTGAATGACCTTTTTCCCTTCAGCATGTTTTTTTCCTTTGCCGTGGATTTTGTTTTGACAGATCTGTTTGCATGATCAAACTTTGAGCAGCATGCTTCTCGGATTCAGACTATGAGTGTAGTATGGTATAAGAAAGAGTTTGTAGTTTTCAGATCTTTATAGTGTTTATCTGAATACAAAGTAAAGTGAATAATAATAGAATGACATGGAAAATACCAGTTAGGTCTGTTCGGTTACATTTCCACAGACGTTAAAAAGTTCTGGATGTTCTGAATTATGTTTTAATATCTGCAGTGAGAGCCTAGAGTAGGAGTGTCAAACTCAATTTCATTGAGGGCCGCATCAGGGTTGTGTTTGACCTTGGGGGGGCTGGCGTGGGCATGGCCAGGGTGGGCGCGGCCAGCTCGATGTCACTTGTGGTGTTGGGGGTACCTGTGATGGCCTGAGCACTCTGCCAGTGAAAACGGGCTCCCAAGCTCAGTTTTCAGCTACCACAGCATCCTGCAACCCTCTGCCAGTGAAAATGGAGCTCAGGAGGGCGTTTTCAATGGCGGAGGGTTGCAGGAGACCATGGCAGCTGAAAACAGAGCTCGGAGCCTGTTTTCGCTGGCAGAAGCACTGTGGGTTGGTCCTGTTTCCAGGGTGGCCCCGCCAGATATAAGTACCCTGTGGGCCACATCCAGCCCCCGGGACTTGAGTTTGATACACCCCTTGTCTAGAGTTATATCTTCCTCCCCATGATCTGTACATTATGCTTAACAGCCTTTTGCTTTTACTATGAGCATGCAATCTGATAAACAGACAAAAGAGGAAAACCTGTTGCCTCCCAGGGGGCTTCAGTCAAGATAATTCCATTGAAACTTCCTCATATGGATTGTATTTGCTAGATAGGCTTAATTGTGATTAACTCAGGTTTATTCAATATAGTTTTCAGGATTTATATTGTACATTGAATAATTGGCTAATTTCATGAACTGGATTCACGTTATATACTAAGCTAAGATTGTGACTCATTGTGCTACGTGAACCTAAAAGTAATGTTTCAAAAATAAGACATGGAAGAAAACGCACTTTAACCCCCACCCCCACCCCACCCCCAAAAAAAACACTTTATCACATATATCTTGAACTTGTAGAAAACAATTAATTGTCTTTTGAATGGAGAGGCTAATTTACAAATTACTACCTACAGTATATTCTTTTCCATTTCAAAGCCTAATCTTGGTTCTGTGAATTTTTTCATGTTAAAAAGATAGAAGTAGTGAAGGTCAGTTACATTTCTACCATAATTTCATTTTAATGTAGTTACACCATCTAATTGGCCAGTGGTTTTACCTCCATGTTAGACATTCATGGACAACAAATAATTTCTTAAGAAGCAAATTGTTGCTTCTTAATTATAGGCACCGGCCAGGTTCCCAATTCCTTGTGTTATTGAAAGTATGTGAAAGAGAATCAAGGATGAGACAAAGAGATGACTTTCTTCTTGAGTGGCCAGGGTGGGGAATATTGTCTCCACCACATTTTTTTTTAGGTTTTCAACAGGATTTTTCAATTTATTTCAATAAAGCCCACAAGACATAGATTACAAGGACAGAAAAGAAACTAATCTCTGTAAAAAAATTATGTAGTGTGGTTCAGTAACATGGAGGCTGTACAGTAGATACTTATATCTCTTTAGAGCTAAAACAAAATCAATGTTTCTACATTTTCCTGATTGGAGTCTTTCATTTCCTGAACTTTTTCCAACTCTTCTTTTTGAGGTGTGGTGACTGGAACTTCTAATGTGCTCACATTTTAAAGTCATATAGGACTAACACTATATTGGCAGTATTATTTTCATCGAATATGAAAAGGACTTTGACTGTTCAAATGAAAAAAGTGGAGATTTAAGTAATCAGCATATGGCAAGTAAAAAACAGTGGCCACCTAAGGGGTGATCAAGATTTTAATATGTTTATCCTTTGACATTTATCTTTTCATTTTTATTTTTCTAATGTTAAAATAAAAGTTGCGTCTTGAATCTTAGTAGCCTTCTGTTTATTTATTCATTTATTTCCTTTATACTGACCTTTTAGATGTCAGGATGTATCAATTCCTCTTCTTCATTGATGGAGATACATTTAGTCTATTAAGAGTTTTTGAATGTGCATATTGAGGCAATGGACAAGTTTCTGCCATTTTCTTGACAAGATTGCTTTCTTCCTAGGGCTTAGAAGGAGTGACTGGCTTCCCAACTGGCTTTGTGCCTAAGTCAGGACTAGAACTCACAGTCTCCTGGTTTCTAGTTCATCTTAATTTCTGTATCAAATTGGCTGTAATATTGAGAGTAGATGTATTTATATGTTTTCCAGATATAAGGAACTCTCTCTAAACATTTTAGTCATTTTAGCCAGGGAAGATTTGTTCCTGGAGTTAACTGAACTTGAATGATAATCCCTCAGTTATTTTGGTGTCCTAATTTATTAGCTTTTAAAAACACTTATGTAACTACTTCTTGCAAAATAGCCACAACCATCTATTTCACATTTACTGTTTCTTTTTTTAAACTGGATCATTAAATAGATGGCTTCCTTGAGCATTTGAAAATGCACTCTTAAATTATGACTCTGTTATATTCATTTCAATTTTCTTTTCGGCTTTACTCCATGTATTTTGTGGGTCAGATCATATATGATAATGAAAAATTATTAATTTATAATTTAGATTTTTGAGACAACCCATTCTGCAGTGACCGGGCAGCATTAATTTGAATATCAAGATATCTCAGCCCCAGAATTTATTTCTTAATCTGTAATATAGGGATAATACTTTACAAAACAGTGTAAAGTTTAAGGACATAATATATATGGAAGTATTTTAGTAATACATGTTGGTGTCCTTTTTACTAGAGGCCCAGTGTTCTTACAAAAACTTTTGTAACCTTCAGTGGGTTGATAGAATGTTTTTATCAAACAGAGATTTTTAAAAAGAGAAAATAAATGGCATTGATTAATGCTATTGGTCAACTTTATTCTTTGTAATACTTATGTTCTTGTTTGAAAGCCATTTATTTGCCTTCGCTTCTGTTGTTGAGATCGTGTTCAAAGAGCAGTTTGGAGCCATGGCCAGGAAAGATTTTATAGTTGTGGTATGTGCTAATTATACTTGTTCCTGGGCCAAGAGACATAATCACCTTCTGAATGAATACTGCAATGTGCTTTTCATGATCCTGTGCTTGAAGAGCATCTGGAAGCTGCAGCAGGTGCAAGATGCAATGGTCTAGGCCCGTGATGGCAAGCCTATGGCACGTGTGCCACAGGTGGCATGCAGAACCATTTGTGCCAGCACGCGAGCCGCAGGCAAACGTACCTCACTGCACACGCACGAGCCTCACAGCTGATTTTCGGTTGGTTTGAAGCTTCCCAGAGGCTTGAAAAAAGCCTCTGCAGGCCAAATAGGCCTATTTCGTCACTTCCTGTAATACCGGAAGTGACGAAACAGGTTTATTCAGCCTGCAGAGGCTTTTTTCAAGCCTCTGGGAGGCCGAAAAAGGCCTCAAACCAGCCAAAAATCAGCTGTGAGGCGCAGTGCAGGTAAAGGGGGCGGCGGGGGGGGGGGAATTGCATGCACATGCACAGGGGGGTATGCAGGGGCTGCGCATTGCCTTCTGGGTGCTGGCATGTGAGCATGCGTGCAGTAGCGCGCACACAATTTTTGGCATAGGAGCCCAAAAAGGTTAGCCACCACTGGTCTAGGCAGTTATTTATTTATTACATTTGTTGTCCATCTTTCCACAAGGCAAGTCATATAAACTCATTATGTCAGCTTCTTGATTGATGCTTATTTCATCTCTACTCAATGCAGTAGTTACCAGTGTGCTTCTAAGATCATTTCAGGGGTTGTAGAGACTTACAAAGCCCTGAATAAGATGAGTTTGGGTAATTTAAGGGATTTTCTCTCCCTGATTGTGTCTATCCATCCCATCAGATCCAGCAGGACTTTATTAAAGAATGTCATTTGGTGGAATTCAGAAGAGACCTTTTTCTGTCATTGTACTCATTCTTCAAAACACCATTTCCTGGGGATTAGATTAGTCCCAAAACTGGTTGCTTTTCATACAGCTTTAAAGACCAGATTATGCCACTTCATAATCAGAATTTGTGACAAAAGTCTATTGAATGGTTATGTGAATGATTCAGATGGGTTTTTACGTTGGCTGCTGGTTTCATATTTATTGGTTGTTGTATTTTTTTCCCAGAATATTGAATGGATGATTTTATAGACACAGAAGAAAACCTTAGTTCTTGACCAAGATAGAGCCATTTTCACGATGACGTAGTTGAAAGCTCCGGCTTGCACACATGGCTTTTACTGTGCAGTGGTAGCAATAGTATTTGATATTTAGAAATAGCAATGTTAACCTGATAAGTGAGAAGTCAAGATAATAATAAACTTCTAGGAATTCACACCCATTGCATCTTAACCCAGCAAAATGGTTCAGCCTAGGAATTCCTAGTGTGCTATCAACTCTTGGTCTAACTCTCCTCTTCTTTCTCAGCATTGCAGCTTCCCTTAGCCAACGATGGCAGCAGCCGTTCCCCCTCTTTGGAAAACTCACCCCAACACCACACACATCCATCACGCCCTCGAAATATCCTGGGCCTTCCTCCTCAGCCACCATTCCTCATGCACAGGAGCATGGAGAGGTAAGCACAGGTGGAGCAAAGAAGCCAAGTGGTAGTAGAACACTCAACTTAATTTTTTCTCGTGTTTTTAAGAACTTTCGACATGCAGTTTCTGGGCTTATATTCAAACTAGGGAAGGGCGGTTTACTAAGAGATGGGGGGAAGCTGTTTATAGCCAAGCTTTTATATTGCTTTAATGTCTAATGAAATGGAAATGTATGTAACAAGTATGGCTGTATACAGATGGTCTAATCTATACCATAGAAGAAGAACTTGCAATTATGTGCCATTATGATGTTCAGTGACAGCATGTTGGGGTGGGGACTGATCGTGATATACTTCGGCATTGTTGCTTATTTAATTGTTTGATTGCTGATGATTTGATTGCCTCTGAGTCACTTTTAACTCCTGGTAACTATTGTATATGGACAAATCCATGTTCCTTTGGTAATATTTTTGGGGGAAATGGTTTGCCGTTGTCCTCTTCCTAGGGTTGAAAGTAATTTGTTTTATATTTTGCCACAGTCATTGCTGACTCCCTGTGTCTTACATCCTCACCACTCATAAGTGATATTAGACCCAAGCAAGTCATTACAAACCATAATTTCTTGCCACAGTCAGAATGCCATCATAGTAGGCAATGTGTACTGTAAGGGCTTACGTTTGGCAGAATGTAAAAAGCAGATCTTTCAAATTCATCTTAAGATATTTTCAGTAAATGTAGTATGTTTCCTACGTATTGGAATGCAGCTTATTGTATTTGGTGTAATATTTGTATTAGGCCCCAGGAAGTTTAAGAGCATCTGTCCCTGAAAGGGTGTGCCAGTTTGGCTTATTTAACTGGGCCTGCTGCTTATTTTGCATTCACCAGTTAAGTAAACATTCATGACAATCTGCATTCTTCTTTACAGCTGGGATTGATTTTGAGGGCTTGTTGTAGAACTGGCTGATTTTGTCAAGAGGTTTGAATGCAAAACTTATTATTCTTTATAGAATTTTCCTTCTTTACATAATTATTCGGATACTGAGCATGGGAGCTTCATAATAGGGCTATGTATGCTCTTCTTCATAGTATCTGTTCTTGGAGAGAGAGGGAGAGAGAGAGGGAGGGAGGGAGGGGGAGAGAGAGAGAGGGAGGGAGGGAGAGAGAGAGAGAGAGAAAGAGAGAGAGAGAGAATGAATATGAATTGATACAGTCCCATGTCAAGGATACAAGCTGCCATAAGTTCTTTAGCTTTTCTTTCTTTCCCTTCCTAGCATAGAAATTGATCAAAAACTGCAGGAGATAATGAAGCAAACTGGTTATTTGACCATTGGAGGCCAGGTAGGTTGAATTCATCTACCCTGCTATAGACAAAGTATTCCCAGCCCAGTGTCTGATTAAAGCTGATCACATTTGAGGTCGGAAAATCATGATAAGGAACTTCACAGTCAGATCTAATGTGGCACAACCTGCATTCTTGGATATAGGATTTGTGGCTTGTCCATCTTATTCTTTTTGTTGCATTTCATGGAGTATATTTTTCCAAGTTAATATTTACCTTTCAGACAGGTATTTTAAAGTTATGTGAATTTCCACTTTAGACTGGCAAGTTAATGTGGCTTTATAAAGGATATTTTATAGGAAGAGATAAGAGATATAGTAGCTTAAAATACTTTGCAGCCTGATGACATAACAGTTGACTGCAACTAAAAGTTACCATAAAACAGTCTTCCCTTTTTTCAATATTCACTATATTAACACTTGTTTGCGTCTTAAGTTATGTGTCCTCATTTCCCACAGAGATATCAAGCTGAAATCCATGACCTGGAAAATCTTGGTGAGATTGGTAGTGGGACATGTGGACAGGTGTGGAAAATGCGCTTCAAGAAGACGGGACACATCATAGCTGTGAAGGTGAGGTAGATATTCTTGAGTTTTGAAACTCAAAACTCTTAAAAGAATAAGAAGTCTGGGTTGAAATGGCAGGAATTTACTCTGAATACAGCTTGAGATAGGTTGAAGAGATTTACAATAAGTGTCTTTTGTAGATAGAAATTAGTGGTGATCATTGGACAAACAACAGAAGTGCTCACCATGAGGGAAGGCATGTACAGCGCATCTTTCTTTTTTAATGTTTTATCTACCCTCCATGCTCAGGGGTGCCCCTTCCTATTTTTCCTCTCCTTAGCAAATGCGTCGTTCTGGTAACAAAGAAGAGAACAAAAGGATCCTAATGGATTTGGATGTGGTGCTGAAGAGTCATGACTGTCCCTATATTGTTCAGTGCTTTGGGACTTTCATCACAAACGTAAGTGGACCCAGTGCTTCCGTCTACTCTATTTTTTTAAAAAAGCAATAACTTGATCAATATCTCCCTTCATTTCTCCCCCTTTTTTGTCCATAGACGGATGTTTTTATAGCCATGGAGCTAATGGGCACGTGTGCAGAGAAACTGAAGAAACGCATTCAAGGACCCATCCCTGAGAGAATCTTGGGAAAGATGACTGTGGCGGTAAGTGTCGATAATCTCTGGTAACCCCAAATAAATGTATAGTATGTTGCTTGCAAACATCAGTACAAAAAAAAATATTTTACAGATCTCTCTCTCTAGATGTTAAGTTGTGAAAACTGTTTTGTGCCTCCTAATGATCCTCATGCATTTTCCTTTGGAATTTAAAATATTCCTTGGTGCGTGTGGGTTAGTGCGGGTGCATCCCACCCCCTCATGGAGACTGTATGAGCAGCTTAGAGGAAGTGCCAGTTAATGAGTGGCAATATGGAAGTTGACAACTTAAAACATCAGCCTAAACATTGAGGGGAAGAAGAAAACTAGTTTACCACCATTACGTCTGCTGTAGTTTTCAGGCTACAGTTGACCAATTTGAATGAGTATTATTTAATCAGAATAAAACTGAATAAACTCAGTGTAGGAAGATTGTGCATCTCTCCTACCAAGCAGAAATACTAAAGGTGTAGTTTCACATGTATCCCTCCTCTTTTTGATAATGATTTTGACATTTGTTTTGTGATGTATATGGATAAAAGGTTATGCTATAATAAGTTTAAGCATATTAAGTTATGTAACTGAAACTCTGTGTTCTGCATAATCACATAATCTTCCAAGTGAGTGACTAACCTTTGCTTTCCAAGTAGCAAATGTCTTCATAGAAATTGAGTTTTGTTAATCCTAAACAAATGCTAAAATTACTTTTCCGACAGTGAGTCATTTCTTCGATGCTGATTTTTTTATTTTATTTTTTCCTCCCTAGATTGTGAAAGCCCTCTATTATTTGAAAGAGAAGCATGGTGTCATTCATAGAGATGTGAAGCCTTCCAACATTTTGTTGGACGAGAGGGGACAAATCAAGTTGTGTGATTTTGGGATCAGTGGGAGGCTGGTCGATTCAAAAGCTAAAACCCGGAGTGCTGGTTGTGCAGCATATATGGCGGTAAGGATTAGAGACATGTTTAGGGAATATCTTCAGGTATCTTGCCGTAATGTTGTAACCTTTACTGTGTGCCCAATTTGTTTGCCATAATCAATTCCTTCATAGGTTTTCTTTTCAACAGTATTCTGGACTAGGCCCGTTTAGATTATATCAGCACATCTCTGCCTGAGGATGTCCCCTTGGAATCAGAATCACACATCTGGTGCGTGATTCACAGCACATCTGTACAGAGTTGCCATTAGAATACGGCCTAAGCTTATGCAATTGTAGTTCCGTTGTTTATTTTGTTTCTATATTTGGGGGTTGTTTCCTAAGCGCAGGTAAGAAATTAGCAATCAGTTGCTCTTTCAATGGCTTTTTATTTTCTGTTCTTAGCCTGAAAGAATAGATCCTCCTGATCCCTCAAAACCTGATTATGATATCCGTGCAGATGTGTGGAGCCTGGGCATTTCCTTGGTAAGTTAAACTCTCTTGGCTTGTTTTTTTTTTTTTTTAATGGCAATTGGGCAATCTATAGCTTGCAGTCTGCCCACATTCCTCAAAGGTCTTCTCTGTAGCCCATGTAGATGCCAAAGCTCTTTAATTAAGCCTTGCTAGATTCTCAGCATGCTTAAATACTTATTCACATGCACAGTTTATTATTTAGTAGATGGTAGCAGTTTTTAGAGCGCTTTATTTTCTCTTTCTAAAGTGAAGAATGCAAAAGTGAAGTTAAAAGTATCTTAGATGAAAGATGAACTTAAGGCTAACATTACAGAAGACTTTTGTGACTTAGGGTGGTTGCAACAGTATTATGAGATTCAGTGATATTGAGGGATTTCAGCCAGTTTGATGGAGGAGATGCCTTGGTCATCATGTGAAGAGGCCTGAAATGAGTCTACTTGCCATATCAGAGATTCCAGTGGAACAGCAAATGATATGTTTCTTAATACCTTATGACACAGTGAACTAAAACTCATCCTATTAAATGATACCGCAAGAGAGGGTGATATTTTTTCTGCTAACTTCTTTTAACTTTTAATATTTGGCATTTCTTCTCATGTCACATTCCAATGCAGGTTGAGTTAGCTACAGGGCAGTTTCCCTACAAGAACTGCAAAACAGATTTTGAGGTCCTCACCAAGGTTTTGCAGGAAGATCCTCCTCTTCTCCCAAATAACATGGGATTTTCCGTGGATTTCCAGTCCTTTGTAAAAGACTGGTGAGTAAATAGTCTCAAAAACAACTTACAGTGAGTAGTTAATAATTTTGAGAGGTAATGGTCGGAATATGTAGAAAATGGGCCCACTCCAGCTCTATCAGGACCCAGGAAGTTTACATTGTCACAGTTATTGCCCTTTGGAATAGTAACCCCACAGAGGTCTGAATGATTCACATCCTGATGATGTTCTAAAAGTCCTTGAGGACATGGCTGTACTCCCAGGCCTTGGGGTAGAGTGGTGGTTGAGCCCCTCCCTGTTGATTGTTTTTTGTTATGCGTGTTCTTCTCCTCTGGATATCTATGTTAACTTATTATCGTTTCTCACTTGGTGTATGTCACCAAGAATTGTTTGGAATAGGGCAAAGTTAATTATATATAATAAAACAATAGATCACTGAACACAGTTTTATTTGGTCAGTCTGGTAATGTGCTTTTGTGAAAAGGTGAACTCAAGCATCTTTGTCATTTTTTCCATAAAATTAAATCTCATCTCAGCCTTCCAGCTCCCTTTGCACAAATTGTGGGCCATTCCACTTGTTTCTCTTCTCTCTTCTCAACCTGTTCGTGGCTCCTGCTTTTTTCCCTTGGCCTTTGTCTTGGCTAACTGCAGAGTAAGAAGAGGCTCCTCCATTGAGCTGAAAATGACAACCAGGTTGCCATGGAGGGTGGGTGCGAAAATTGGCCTTGGGCTGTGCCAGGATTATGATGGATTGCATCCTATTAACTAGAAAACTTTTGGAGGGGAATAACTTACATAAATATGAAATGTTGGTGTTAACTACTGTTAACCAAAATTCAGTTGGAAAATGTGGTTTGAGTGTGTGTTTTTGTTCTTCTAGCCTTACTAAAGATCACAGGAAGAGACCAAAGTACAACAAGCTACTTGTGAGTATACAACACTTCATGTGAATATGGATGCTATAGGAAGGGTACTCTTAAAACAATTTGCACTTGGTGCAGAGGTTTTGTGTGTGTGTGTATTCTTCTTATTATTCTTATTATTACTATTATTATTATTATTATTATTATTATTATTATTATCATCATCATCATAAACATACACACTCACAGTTTCCTAAAGCAGAAAAGTTCTATTGAACTGATTTTTTTTTCATGACTATCCATTTGTTTTTCCTTGTATTCAGCATCATTGTGTGTCTATTTGTACATATTCAAACATAGTTGTTTTCTGCTATAGTTGACCTTAGTTAATCCAGGCCCAGCAGAATACTTCTCTAGATTTCAGGAGATCCCCCGCCCCCACCCCAAGTCCTACAGAGTTGCTCCCTCAGCCTTTTAGGAACAGAAGGGGGAAAAATGCATTCCATCTCCTTGTTTTCAGGAACACAACTTCATCAAGCGTTATGAGACACTGGAAGTGGATGTGGCATCCTGGTTCAAAGATGTCATGGCTAAGACAGAGTCACCCCGCACGAGCAGCATCCTCAGCCAGCATCACCTGCCCTTCTTCACCAGGTAGCCATGTTGTGTGGCTGCTGTATCAGAGAAGGGGTCCTTGGCTGCCAGATCTTAAAAGAGAGAGCACCACAACAAGCACCAGCCTTCACTAGAACAACGCTCCAGTGGCATGCATTATTTGCTTCACCTGCTCAGTCACCCGTGACTGTTTTGTCTTCTTCAGTATTGCCAGGAAGAGATGGGTCCCAGGTCTGGTCTTCCTGGAATGGGATTACATTTCAGGGCCTTTGGCATTTCAGGCACCGCACCGGACAGCCCAGCTGTACGACGCTTTGGATGAGAAAGTACTTCCTCAGCCTCTGCTTGTATGTTTCTGAGATTGAGCATCCGCCATCAGGGTTGCCACCAGTGACAGCGTGCTCCCTGCTTCTCTCTCTCTCTCTCTCTCTCTCTCTCTCTCTCTCTCTCTCTCTCTCTCTCTCTCTCTCTCTCTCTCTCTCTCTCTCTCTCTCTCTCTCTCTCTCTCTCTCTCTCGACTGTGACCAGAGGCTTGAGGATATGCAACAGTGACGCTTGCTCACGCACTGTGAACAGACATAAAACACAAAAAGGAAAATAGAAAAGATATTTTTTTTACAAGTTATTTATTAAGTTTGGACTTCTGGTGCTGTGGGCTGCCTGCTGCCCCCGTTCACCAGTCTCTGCGTCATTACATGTCCTTTTATTTGTTTGATTTTTTTTTTCCTCTGTGTTTTTGGATTTGTATTTGCTAAAGACAAATGGGGGCTGGGATAGATGAATTGGCTGCTGCTTTTATGATGCTGAGCTTAGCAGTTGCAGTTGTCTTGGTTTTGTTTGTTCTTAGGGCTTGCGGGTGGGGTTTCTTCCCTGGAAAGGAAATGTGTGCTAGATTCTTGCCCGAGAGTTACTCAGTTAAAGTAAAAAATTTCCCCCTCTTTGGTTCTTTTTGATCTCAGGGTTCCTCTTTTGAGTGTGAACAAAGTTTTGTCATTGGTGTTTTATTACCAAAGTGCATGTTTGGTGCTAGGATGAATGCTTCTTCATTTTCTTCCAGTATTTAAGAAAAGGAAAAGCAGAACTGAAAGATAATCCTGGCATCAATAAAGCCATTAAAAAGAGAGTCAGCCCTAATTATCTCTAACATAGCAGATTCTTCAAAAACAAACAAACAAAACTTGATAGCCACAAATTTAAGACCTCTGATCTGTTGGGGACTGATTGGTTTGGAGTCTTAACTAGTAGCAAGGATGTATTTCCAATTGAGGAACAATCAGTTTTCTCCCTGAGGTCATGGGCTTGGAACAACAGCATCTGTAATGGATGCTCAATCTGCAAGCATAGATGTGGTCCTAAACAAGAAGGTTCAGTAAACGGAGGAAGTACCGTTCTCTTTTATTTCAGAATAGAGCTTCTTTTTTTGATAACGCTCTCCACAGGATAAAAGAAGAGACAGGATCCAGTCATTTAAAATCCAAAGACACCTTTTAAATTGGCCAACACTAACAAGTTGATGGAGGAGGAGGAACCAAGGTGTCTCAATCACTAAGGTTGTTTTGTAATTATCAGGCAGTTGGAGCCATCTGAAACTTGGGAAATGAAAGTTGGCCAGAGAGTTTTGGAAGTGAGTCAGGAAGTTATTTTCAGGCAGTTCCAAATTGTATCTTTTCCAAGGTTCTGGGGATAATATGCAACTTGAACCTCTAAATGTTGTCCTGAAGATGAGACTTGTTCCTGCTTTCTCCTGCTAGAAAAAGCTTGCATATTATGGCAGAGGCCAGAAAAGGCCCCACACAGTTTTATCCTCATCAGGAGGCTTTAATTGTGTAGGGCTGAGAAGGAAGTGCACTAGTAATTATTGCTATTCCAGATACATTCAACCTCGTATCACCCTGAGATTAATACGTTCCGCATTCACTACATCCTGGCCATTTTGCAAAAGAAGCCATTGCGTTTAAAGGACTGAAGGAGCCAGGGGCAGAACCAGCGGAGGAGGAAGAAGCTTTAATGGAACCATATGTTCAAATTTGGTATATGGAGGACTTGGTTATTAGAGACGGGTTGAAATGAAATCAAATGGGCCTTGCTGAGGTTTTTCTCATAGAAGATGAACATGCAAAGCTTGCTGGAAAATATATGAATAATATGCAGGTTATAGGAATGCAGTGCTTTTCAAAACAAATCATAACAAAGATAGCAAAATATCAAAGAATTTGGAGAGGAAACAGAATTGCAGGATCCAATCTGGATCGATCACCAGGACCAAAGGTTTTGTCTTCCGAGCTTTCGGACTTGTGTTGGAGCTCCTGGGACATGTATATTTGTCTTCATTCAGGAAACAGAACTGTTTGTAGAAGATGTAAATCACCTGTTCAGATGGCTGGCTTATGGTTACTGCTTCATATAGCACACTAATATCCCACCAGCTTTCATTATGACTATTAAGGTATTTTTCAGAAATTGAAAAAAGGCCATTTATGTTACACACCTTACAAGGCATAGGATTTGTGCAAGGAAGAATAGTGTTTTGAATGTGTTATATGAAAACATATGAGAGAAGATAGGAAGTGAAGGAAGGGAGGGAGGGAAGGAGGAAGGAAGGAAGGAAGGAAGGAAGGAAGGAAGGGAGAAGTGAAGAGATAGCAAGAATAAGGCAGTGAGCTGAAAGAGAATTTATGGCTTAAGAAATAAGTTAGCAATAAGGAATGTATATTGGAAACTTTTATAGAAATTCAGTCGGTGAAACCAGAAGAAGGGTGTGTGAAAAGAAATGAAGAATAACTCATTAGGGAGACTTAAAGATGCTTAGCTTTCAAGATGTGAATTCCTTTAACAAGTTTATTTAGATTCACTTCAGTGGTGAATTTTTAATTTTACTTACTAAGGTAACTTCTAAAAACCTCTTTCAATTCAAAAACATGCTCTGAAAGATACTTTGGGCCAGTTTGGATATATATCCTATGTCCAAATTGGGTCATAATAACTTTGGCAAAATATATCCTGCTAAATCACAGTCAAGAGACCCAGAAACAAATAATGGCTCCTGATTAGAAAAACAGTATTTAAAAAAAAAAATCCCTCTAGATCAAACATAATAGGGATAGAAATCTAAGATAAATGAAATTGGCTTACCAGTGAAATAAATGAGGACATTTAGACCCAGTACTTATTCTTAATTTTATGAAATATGGCTTTGATTTTCAAGATACGTTGGTCACAGTTAATTTTGATTTTCCATGTTCAGGTAATATGCATGGGTATGTTCTATATGACCATCAACCAAACATATCCATTTTCTTTGAGACCCAGTTAATGTGGCAAAACATAAATAAGCTTCACTTGGGAATCATTTAGTTCTCCAAATTTATTAATTCTATGAAGACACAAACATATAAACACGAACATTTGTCAAGATACTAGAAAAGGTCATTTTACTGTATTTTTAATTGTTGTGAATTGCCAAGAATTAAAAGGTAGAGTGGCATATAAACTTAATAAGGTTAGAGAAGAATAAAGAGTGTTTTCTAAAACCATTTTAGAAAGTAATGACAAAAGTTCACAATTTTTATGGCAAAACTGAGAATTAAGCAAAGCCTGAAATGCTTAAAAGTGAGAATAAAACAGATGCAGAACACAATGCGTGCATAAGTGCACCATCGTGCCTACCATCCCTATCGTCCCCATTTATTCGTACCTATTTCCTGTATTCTTACTCATGATTATACTTATACCTATTATCTTGTAAGCGATTGACAAATAAATAAAATAAAATAAACACAAAACAGCCCCTGGACATCTGTTTCCACCAGGGAGAGGGTCTGTTGGCTAAAAGATGTAGTGTAAAAATCATGGTAGAGCTACATTCATGGTGACTGATTATGAAACTGCATCGGGACAGTTGCAGTAGAATTCTCATGTGTATCAAATCAAAGTTAGTTTTATCTTAGTGACAAGTACTGATTTTTCTGCTACTGTTTTGTTCAGTATTTTCGCTCATTTGGTAGAGGAATTGATCTTGAAAAATAAATGGCAGATAAATGGAAAGCTACTGAAGCTTGGACATATGACACTCTGGATTAAGAATGTTGGAGAAGGTTCAGAGCATAGAGATATATTGGAGTTAAAAGTGAGTTTCCAATTCTAGGTTGAAGAGCACAGCACTGCAAGTGGACAGTGGCACTGGCTACGTAGAAAAAAAGAAGGATGTACAAAATTGTTTGCTGGAATACAAAGTTAAGCAGAAAGGTCCTGGATAGTTAACAGAAGTGTTGTCATATAAGCAATTGAATAGTGTACCCTCATTCTGGCTTTGTTGCTTGTTTTTCCATCTTGCTAGATTATTTATACTTAAGCAAGGTAACCATAGTAGTTGGTAGAGCACGAGTGATATATGATATGACAGCTGGTATTTTCACCCCTCCAAGGGGATCTTTACCTTGAAGCTAACAGTGAATCTGCATTCTGACTGCAAAGAATCTTTCAACATTTTTAATGCTCCAGTTCTTTTTAACTGTTTTAAAAGCAGTTCCCACATGAATTAATTTAAGCTGAACCAGTCTCTTGGAAGTCTTACTCAAACAATGAATTACAAGGGCAATGACGTTGTTAAATAACTGGATCATCTTCTTCATCAAAAGTAAGGTCTGATCATGAATCTCAGTTTGTGATCTCAGAATATTTTTTTGTAAAGAAGGCTTTTGTGTTTCTTTCAAATTCTTTTCAGAATTTGATAGTATTTATTTGCTGCTTCTTGGGACAAATGGGGGCCTATTGATTCCTATGAATAAGTGCCTTCTCTTCCCTCCCTGCCAAAAATACTGTCAGTTGCATTTTTAAGGTAACAGTATTTAAGTTACTGTTGATTGTTTCTTACATCACATTTTGTGATTGCTAACAGAATAGAATTGCTAAGAAAAAAGTTTCATTTTTCAAGATGCTTAAAACAATCAGTAGTTTTAAGAACATTGATTATATTCAGCTTACCTTTTCTACTGGGAGCTTGTAGTCTCTATCCTTTGGCTTTAAAATCCACATGACCACTCTGAAAGTCCTTTAGCTTCCCAGATGTGTTTGGGCTACATCTGTTTTCATGTCCTTGACCAGAGGGGGACGGTAGAATTTGTAGTTCAGAGGGTCACAGATTCCAAGTCTTCCAAGGCCTAGAACAGCTGCTTCTAGAAAGTCATAATTAGCCAAAATTATTAAAAACGTATCTAGTGAGATTATTTTTATTATGTGAACAGGGAAAGAAAAAAGTACTATCAATCTCATGGTTTTGTCATCCTTTCCACAGCAAACATTTTTTGATCATTGTAGAGGCTTTTAAGGCAGGCCTCTCAAACTGGCAGCTCATGGGCCAGATGCGGCATGTGCAGGCCACGCCCACCTCGGCTCCGCAAAGGCAAAAAAAAATGTCACGA